AAAATAATAGTCTCATTTGTCTCTTATGTGTATATGTATGCGTGGAGGTCATATTAAGCTCTTTCTCTGATATAGAATGTATAATATTTAAAAATCGTCTAATATTTATGTTTTATATGAATATTAAGATGGATTATCATTATAGATGGTTTAGCATATACCACAATAATGACTATTAAAAATATGAGGAAGGTTAATAAATAAACATCGAAAAAAGAAATATTTTAATAAGTCATGAGTAAACTATATAAGTGAATTTTAACCTAAAATATTTAGGCATTAGATTTATGAAATTTTCTCACTTATATGTTACTAACATACCCATCTATATCCAATATGAGACTTTCATTTACACCTACACTCCAATAATCTCTCCCTCAAGTATGAATTTCTTCCACATTAATGGAACACATAACCTCACATCAATGGAACACACAACCTGACTTCCATATTGTCACTTTTGACATAAGAGATCATCATACATGGACCCACTACCAATTTCACTGTCCAATAATCTTTTGAGTTGGTCAGTTAGTCAAACCATCAACTATAATACTAGTTGTAAAGAATATGAGGGGATTAAACTCTAAGGAGATTCACCAATGGACCACGAGCCTACCACACAAGTGAATTTGATACATCATTTCAAAACCTTAAGGCATCAGGTTTATGGGTCCTTATCACTTATATGTTGCTCAACATATCAAATTCTATCTAATGTGAGACTTTCATTCATACTTACACACCAACAACCCTCCCCCCTAAAGTGATCTCTACCACAAGATATACTCCCCTTCAAGCGTAAGTATTTTTCATCAATAAGTATTCAATGACGGCCTTAGAACTTAACCATCACTGTTAATATGCTCTAGATTTTGCATCGCCGCTTCCACCATCATTAGGCTCCTAGTGCTTAGCCATTAGTCATTTTGTCAATATGTTTTAGATATTTACATCACTACTTACACTACCTTTTAGGCCCCTAATCATTGTCGTTAATATGTTCTTAGATATTTGTATCATTCACTAGTGCAAAAATTAGTTTTAAAATCGGGGTTTTAAGATCGGTTAAAAGGTGACCGATCTTAAAAGTTACGCAATGGCAATTTTGTAAATAATGTGAACACTTTTAAGATTGGTTAAATTTTAACCGATCTTAAAAGTACTTTTAAGATCGATTATTTTATGACCGATCTTAAAAGGTATGTCTGACACAAATTTTAAGATCGGTTACAAAAGAACTGATCTTAAAAGTTGTATCAGACATAACTTTTAAGATCGGTCATAAAATAACCGATCTTAAAAGTACTTTTAAAATCGGTTATTTTTTTAAGATCGATTATTTTATGACCGATTTTAAAAGTGCTACTTTTAAAATCGGTTATTTAAGAACCGATTTTAAAAGTACTACGTTTAAAATCGGTTATTTAAGAACCGATTTTGTATGTAGTATACAAAATCGGTTCTTAAATAACCGATTTTAAAAGTATCTTCAGAAACCTTTTATATTTCCCTCCATTCTCATTCTCTTTGATCTTTCCCTCCATTCCTTTTTTTACTCTCTCGCGCTCTCATTTTCTAAAGTCTCCCATAAGGTAAATTTCGTTGTCGTTTTCATTTTCGTCTTCTCATGCTCTTCTCGTGTCTTTAGTTTCGTTGTAGGTTCATTTTGGGTAAATTTTGAATCTGGAACGGCTTGTTCTGCAAGGAGAATGACTCGTTCTGCAATCAGAACAGCCCGTTCCGGATTGGTTTTAACTCATGCCAAACTATGCTAGAATGGCCCGTTCCAACCTACAATTTTAGGCCTTTTTAACAACCTGGAACGGCCCATTCCAGTTTTGGAATGGCCCGTTCCAGTTTAATTTTTACGAAGTCAAGACTTTTAAGATCAGTTATAAAACAACCAATCTTAAAAGTTAACTTTTAAAATCGGTTATTTAACCTAACTTTTAAAATCGGTTCTTTTAAAATTGGTTACGAAACCGATTTTAAAAGTTAAAAATAACCGATTTTAAAAGCTTTTTTTCCACTAGTGATTGCTAGTTCATATCAATAGAACATGCCTAACCTATGCATCACCAAGAAGAATCTCAACACAAGAGATTCACATATTTGAATTCATTGCCTTCCATTATTTAAACTATATATTATAATTTTCACTCCTGTATCAAAAAGTATTATATTTACTACTACTAAATAAACAAGTTATATATGTGTGTATGTATGTGTATATATATTATTAGTAATAATAATATTATTGTTAAATTAATATTAATAATGTAACAACCCACCATGATCCCTACACTTAATGAAAAACAACTAGCAGTGGAAAATAACTATTAACTTAGAGTTATATACCTACAAATATGAGAATATGTACTATATAGCCCGCATGAAAAGATAAAAGCAATTATTTAAATATATGCAATATAGATACAATAATTATATAAATGTAAATTATACAACCCAAGTTGTTAGTAAAGCAACTCATATACAACTATACTACTTTGCGATAACATCCAAAATATAAAAAACCCCACCATCCTCCTAATAGCCACCTCAACTGCAACACCCCATACATATCTTTGTTCCACTCTCATACTACATATGATCATCACAGTCCAAATCACATGAAAATACGCAAGGATAAGTTAGAGTTTAAAGATTCAACATATACAATAAGATTTTACAACACAACTCATAATTTTCAACATCAACATTTAAGCACACTCAACTCTATCAACTTTACAACTACATCTACTACAACACAAGATCAAAATGAACAACACAATTAAATTAACAACTCAATTTTCAACACATCAACATGTTTCATCACAGATCAGCACTACATATGTACAACACAATTTAATCAACACATTATAAGCACAACACTACAACTATATGCATCATCACACATTTTAACTAAGGGATCTCTTACAACATAGCATGAGTAGCTTAAGTGGCTTGACCTTACCGAACTAACAACACAAGGTGGTCTTTTTGGCTTGTTTGATCAACCACAATTTGGATATCAATCCACAACACAACAACCTGGTTTCTCGAATGTTGTCACTTAAACAAGGAAGTTTATATTATTATCAGGGTAGAAAAGTTAGGTATAGGTCAATCACGGCATTAACTAGCTTAATTAAGCCTCCTATGGGATTAACTCATCGACTACCCTTCAAATACTATATCTTTTTGATACTCGATTAGGAACTTAGTTCCTGACTTCGTACTTTACTCAATTGGTCACTTATAATCAATATAGTTTAACCTAACCCCTATACTATGGTCGCTTTGTACATGTATACCTCGACTTTGCCCACACATGGTACCAACTAGGGATGGCAACGGGGCGGGTCAAGTACGGGTTTCATGATACCCGTCCCCGTCCCTACGAGTCAAACCCATCCCTGTCCTCGTACTCGTACCCGTCGGGTATATAATTTTCATCCCCGTCCTCATTCCCGTCGAATATCGGGTATACCCGTACTCCTATCCGTCAATTTTTTTATTTTTTATTTTTTGTAAAAAAAATATTTTTAAATTATTTTTCTATTATATTATAATTATAATTAGGTTATTTCTCTATTTCATATTATAATAAATAATCACACATAATAAAATATTAAAATTCTTTAACATAATTAAATAAAAAATGGGTATTAAATTAAGAATGGGAATGGGGACGGGTATGGGTACGGGGCGAGTAAGTACATACCCGTACCCGTACCCGTACCCGATTTAATATATTGGGTTTTACCCGTACCTGTACCTGTACTCAGTCAAACTGGGTATTCTTTGTCAAAGTCGGGACGAGTTTGGGTATTACCCACGGGTACGGGTCCCTAGTACCAACTAAGTCCTAGGGTAGATTCAACACAACTATTCACTTTAAAGGTCAACTTTCTAAAAAGGATTTTCAACAAAGTTAGACTTTCAAAGTACTACAATACAATATCCACACAATAGAATATGCAACTTTTAAAACCTTTCCTTTTGTTCTAGGTTGGTCATCACAACACAACAATACCATGCCTAAATGCTTAAGCATTCTCAGCATTCATCATCTCAACAGCATAACAACTTCATGCATATAATAATTTTGACACAAA